TGACGACGTCATTGAATGTCAAATAAAGGTCAATACTATTTTTTGAAAAATATAAAAAAATCTCAACGTAATATTGACAAATACATAGAAAATATTATTCAGCAACCTTATTCCTCGAAATGGATTTTGAAATAGATAGTTTGAAAAAAAAAAATTAACAATGCCCATTATGCAGGTCACAACCATGTATCGAGTAATGCATACACCTGTCTATGTCTAAGGATCTCTAAACAACCTGCTTCCTGTAACAGATCTGTTTACTAGATTATTCTATTGGTAATCACGATAATTTAATAATACCGTGAGAATAATTAGCACATCTTGACACTTCAAAGTACTTAAGACATATAATTACATTCTCCAACAGTCCAACAATTTTAATGCTGTTTTAATTGTTTCTGAATGATTTTTTGTTTCGCGCACCCATTCATAGCCCCGCACTAGTGAAACCCTATATCGCGGTTGTCATGGACACCATAGACAACCACAAATTAACACCCAAACTCACGAGAGAAATAAATGTAGGTCACACAAATATTTTTCCCGGCACGGGAATCGAACCCGGAACCTCTTGCCTGGCAGTCCAGTACGGTAACCGTTCGGCTACGGAGACAGATTTGATTTGACGTTTGATTGATGATTGATTCTCAAATTATATTCCATGGGCAACAGCATACGTCTGGAACAACATTTGGGTCGAGTAACTGAATTCGCTTTCACTGTTCCCATAGTAAAATTTGTTCTTATTATGTATTCATCATATTACAATCATTAGCAAATACTCAATCTCGGAAACTATCGGTGTAACCCTGATTAAATTTTAACATTTACTTTTAATACTACAAAATTACTAATAGTATATACTGAATGTTCAGATTGGCTAACTAATGTATAATATAGAGCCTACTTTAGTGACAAAAATTGCGTATGTCTCCTATTCTTGTTTTTTCAAAAAGTTAAAACGCCTAACATTTACAGTAGAGATTGGTAAATAAAGAAAAACTTAATGATTTTCTAATTTGCTATTAACTTAAAACAAGGAGTCGTCAATTTTTTCAAAAATTTTACAAGATTTCTTTACGAAATTATTTTTAATCTGCTATCGTATATTTCTTTAACTGTAATTGCTAGTTATCGATTATCACAAGTACGACTTTTTATACTACGTTCAATATTTCAGAACAGTTACATACTAAACAGCGCTCCTAGGTTGACGGTCAAGCAGCAATTGACAGCTATCTCATCCTGGCGAAGTGTTTTAGCGTCACTAGCCTTGTTTAACACATTTACTCCTTCAACGAAATTTTCAAACTGAGTACATGCCTGATTGATTGCATGATTTCTACCATTTTGAACTCCATTAGTGTTGTCATGGGAGTCAATTGTCGGCAGCGAAAGAGGGTAGATAATTTAATTTTATTTTATTTTATTTCTGTTTCGTTTTGTAATTATTTATTTGTGTCTTACGTTTGAATGTTTTATAACATCATTGGTTTTAGTTATGACTTTTTTCTGTTTTGTTTCGTTTTTCCAAACAAGATGTCACTTTGGGTAGTCAAATAAATGTATTTTCTTACTTTATTTTTTTAATAATACGAAGTGATGGGACGAACAAGTCGTGCGTCTGATGGTAAACGAAACGCCTATCCATAACAGTTGCAGTGTTATTCAGAGCTTTAACTCGCCTATGGGTATTGCCACTGCTCCCGTCACCCTGACACATAAGTGGACAAGTCCCATGTGCTGTAATTTCACCAGCACCCTTGCCCTACTAACCCGGAACACAGTAATGCTCACATTACTAATTGGCGGCAGAAATACCTTCTTGGAAGAACTCCATCACAAGGAGCTCTACTGCTACAACTTTCTACAAATTCTTAAATCGTAACAATTGAGCTTGTAACAACACGGAATACCGGGAGAATAAAAACAAGTCATACCGCGGTAACTACAAAACCTGTAACTGGTAATAATAACGCACATACTCAACATAGCCCCGCAGTAGGGAAACCCTGTGTCGCGGGTGCCATGGACACACACATGGACAATCACAAATTACACCCAAACTCACGAGAGAAATAAATGTAGGCCAAACAAATATTTCTTCCGAGCCTGGGACCTCTGCGTGGCAGTCCGGTATGGTGACCGTTCGGAGACAGTTAAAATCTAAAATTAAAATAAAAAAGTGGTGATAATCGTTTACGGAATCAACACAAGTATTTTAAAATCTATATAATAACTTCATAATTCGTATAGTAAAGTCATAAGTGATCGTACGTCACAAGTATTTTTATCACATAACAGCATAACAGTCATAAAAACAATACGACTTACATGAAACAAATTATGTATATAGGTGAAATTTTATATCTCTTCTATTTAAGCATTTATAAAAAACGTACCGATTAATTTTGTTCGTAAATTATTTAAATTTCTTTACCGAAAAGTTGTAATTTTGCAGACGTGACCTTATTACCAAGAGGGCAAATTCTACATTGATTCCAAAAATAGTTGTCTCCTATATGCCTCTAGACTCCCGCAGCTTTAAATTAAGCTTAATCTAATGTAATGGCGTTGGTTCATTTCCGCATAACAGTAAATTGTTGAATCAATCACTTTGTAAAAAATATATAGTGAAATTGAGGATATACCCTGATTACTCTACGGTGTGAAAACACGATTCGTAAAAAATTTTGCGACACAAGAAAACGTAGCGGTTTTCTTGTAAATATAATCATTGGTACCTATACACCTGTGATTATTTTTATATCAACTGAACTAAATAGAACACGTATACTACAGGTACGATATACATTTTTCAAATGGTTTTGATTTCGTTTGTAAAAAAATAAAGTCTGAAATAAAGCTGCCGTACAATGCAAATCCCTAAGTAAAATGAACCTTATCAGTACGGGAAAAAATTGAATTCAAGCTGAGGTTGTATCGACTATTAATGATACAACTTATCTATTGAAGTACACATGTCTGTTTACATAATTTTTTTTCATTGTTCATATGCAGGCTAATCTTTAAGATTATCTAAATGTACACAAGATGTGTGCCGTAGTGAGTTTTAATATCTAGACATTTAAAAATAATAAAATATACCTACTTCAAATTCAAAGTCTGTCTAGAATCGAATTTTGTTGTTACTTTGATCTATTCTTATTATGTGTATAATTATATTATAATACTAATTACATTACACAACATTAAAACCTCTTTACATTCACAATTTACTCCTATAGCTGTAATTATATTCACATTTGCTCACGTGTGACAGTTACATGTCAAACAGGTCATTTTAGATGCACTATTTACACTTTACTATGTATATAATTATTGTCAATGTATAACTTTACTCATAGTCGTTATATTTTTGCTTTCAAATAATTTAATCCCTCTCGTTGGTCCTGACTGAAAACCAGCGCCTTAGGAAACTTTGGCATATGCTGAGTCAGTGCCGTTTCACTGCTATGACAAACATGTTTTGTTTTTTCTCTTATGCTTAATCTGTATTTGTGTTATATCAGTGAATAAAGTGTTTATCTATCTATCTACTTTTGGTTTTTGTTGTCGATGTTAAATTTCTCAAGCGACAAGAAATACAAATTGGATTCCCAGATGTAGGTCGAAACATGAATTTTGATAATTACATTTTTTGTGCTACTTATTATACTTAATTATAGCATACCGAAATCGTTACATATATATTTGTAACATATACACAAGTTACAAATTAATGAAAATAAAGTTTCGCGTACAATGTTGGATCATAATTATTATCGTCGTCATCAACCCATTTATACTACAGAGGTGGTAGGTGAAACCATTAGACTACCACGAATTTTTCAAAATTGGTTGATTATCGATTATTTTGTGAGAAAGTACGAACATATATAAATTAAGTTACGTTATGCCAATGTAAATTATTTTTGTGTAAATAATTGATTATACGTACTTATTCACACCAAGTTCGCATCGACAACGTGCTTACATAATAATCTCAGTACAGGGTACTAAAAATAGCGACCTCAAAAGTACATGGAATTACATATAATTACCAAGTTTTATTCAAATCGGAAAGTGAGCAAGCCCGGATTCATCACCTAGTTCGCCACTATACGGGACTTGACTCAGGATATAATAAAAATCGGTTCTCAATACCCAAAGTATATTGAGAAACAAAAACGCCTTGAATTGGAGAATAGCAAAATCAACCATTGTAACAAATCTACTTTATGTAATTCTGCACTTTTAGTTCTCCAAGAATCCGCTAGATGGCATTGACCCTGATTGATCCTTGATTTAGCGTTATTTCTGAATCGCGGTGTTAAGATTTTCCCTCGAATGGTGACTACTCTAACACAATTTTGTTAATGTGAAGAGAAATCTGAGAATACAGAGAGCTCAGTAAGGCAACCAGGAGTTGAGTCCCTTATTGGGAATGGCTACCCGGATCTTCTGATATTTTGCACGCTCATATAGGGTGAAAGATTATCTCGCGGAACGGTTTCCAGGAGTCGAGTCCCTTTTGTGAACAACTACCCGGACCTTCCGCATATAAGGTGAAATTGTATTGGCGACATACAAGGTGAAAATAAAAATCTTCTGAACCATTTGGAATTTCACTTGGCTTATTTTTGGTAACCTCATCCAACGGAAGAAAGAACCTCCCCTCCTTTACACCATTAAAATAATAGCTTCTTATACATTTAGGCGCTATTTATAAAAATGAACCTTCATGCGTGAACAGCCCGCTCAGAGGTGGATAATTTTCTTCAAAATTAAATGGGACCACTATGGAGGTATCCCCTTTCCAACAAAAAAAGAATTATGGAAATCGGTTCACAAATACCGGAGTTATATTATTACAATGTTATATTATTACAATGTTATATTACAAAAAAAATATACAGTTGAATTAAGAACCTCCTTTTTTTGAAGTCGGTTAACAAACAAAACACAAAATTACAAAATATAACCTTTATTTAAAAAGAAGGGAGTACAAAAGACTAAGAAGAAGTTCTACATCACCTTAGGAACTCTATGGTTATTTCTTCGTTCTTCATTTAATTTTGTTTACTTGTCCTCGGGGATTTCAATGCCTTTTTCCTTAGCGATGGTTTCGTACTTCTTGCGGAAATTGCCTGAAGGGTCATATTTTTTACACAGTTCCTTCCACGCCGGCAGTTCGTTCTTGATCAAGTGCTCGATGACTTTATGTGTACCTTTCTGTTGATTTTCTGTGCATTTCTCGCAGCCGGTCTCCAGGGCATCTACTATGTGTTCTGGTGGAATAAAACATTTATTTACGATATGATCGACAATTCAATATCTGTTTATTCTTTAGCTAGATTGAACAAAATACATGAACGTGAATCATTAAGAGACGTCAGATGAAATTTGACGAAAACTTTTTTTATTGCAACATAGAACACGGAATTATAAATAGTTCTATGTAAATAATTAAAGTGATAAAGTGAGCCACGAGTGAAACACATAAGCACAACATAGAGTGGTGTGTCAAGAAACATTTAGGTCAGCATATTTATTGACACTAAAAGCGTATATGAAACAAGACTGAATAGATTAGACAGTCTCGATAAATAGATGTAGACATTATCCACAAAACTTTTTTATTAAGCAAAAGTTTAGTCTACAAAATTATATAACAAAAATATTCAAAATTCCTCACCTTTCAGCTCCTTCCCTTCAGCAGTACACTTTCCTCTTTCCATCAGGCAGTCAATGTAAGAGTGCAACAACCGCTTGTTATCTAGGATCTCCTGGATGTCAATGTTGTCATATTTGTCGGTGTATTTTTCTTCCTGAGCAATGGCGGCTGCGATTAAGCAACTAAGGAACACCACATAGCGAATTACTGCCTGGAAAATTGGAAAAATACAATTAAATTCGACTTAAATTTCACGGACGGTCGAACTTCTCTCATTTATATTAGTGTCTCGAAATTTCTTTGAAAACGAGAAAATATCTGTAATCTATTAGATGATTAGCACATCTCGGTGTTCAAAATATAATATAATTATAGGAGCGCAAAAGTATGATTGTAATCAACATCGTTTTTTTACTAGCACAATCTAGAATGTCGACTTAAGACATTCCTAAACAGACCTTAGAAAAGTAAAATAATGCTCTACCAGATCAAACTACAAAGTGAAATAATCAATTCCAAATTCACATTAATTATATCACTGCTAACATGAATCACAGATCACAAACAGCAAACCAAATACAAAAATATAATAGAGAAAAGTCCGAGAACAAAATGCAAAATTTTTAATATTTAAAAACTACCTTGAACCTACCATTTCGAATATTCTCAAGTAAATGATAATGAGAACCAACCGAGCATGGTTTATGAATGTCCACAGTCTCTATTTATAGCAGCTACTTCGTGCATCAAACGTCTAATTTGCCCCTCTGTACATTACATCGAATGTACAAAAACCACACTATACAGGACGATAATTTATCACAACGACAAAAACACATCAATAGCAAGTGACAAGCCTTGTACGTTATAGTACGTTTAACAAAAGAGCATTGTTTTTTATTTAAAGATGATAAAAGTTGTTCTTTGAATTTTTTAGGAAATTTAAATGGCGGGTTAGCCTTAATGGAGTCGACAGCACATCGGACAATAATATCATTCAACGCCATTTTTCACAAACACAGCCATTAAGTTAGAAGTTCTCTTTGTTTTTAATTATTCCACTTGTACTAAACTTACACCAATGCTTGCAATGCAAAAGTCACTATTAATGCTTTATGTTAAGAGGGTCTAATTAATTTAAGCATTAGTTTCAGACGTGCTTAAGTTTAGTGCGAGTGAACGTTACATTTCTGTCCTAAATTTAATTAGCAGAATTACTACTTAGTAACTAAACCGCCTGTTATCTTATTTCGTGATACATACAGTTCTCTCTAGTCTTTTTAATATGCTTTCCTGTATGGTTCAATATAACTTCGATTTGTCGATCAGTATGTAAATGTAAACTTTAAATGACAAGTATAAATAAAATGCATGGAAAGTTCCAGAACACAATCTTAACTCAGTTTAAAAAGTGAAAATTTGGTTGACTATATGACTCAGTGTTGCTATAAATTACTAAACTAACTTTAAGATGGTGATAGGTAAGTTTTATGACGTTATCTAACCCAAAGGGCGCAAAGTGGATGTAGTTGTAAACGAGAACAAACAAAAAACATGCACGAATAGGACAATATAACGTATTTCATGCGGCACGTCGTGCGGACAAAAAATACTCTACTGAATGGAAAAATCAAGGACCGCTAAAGACATGGTCGTAGAAGAACTACACCACAGAAGTCTTCCCAGCTTCACGGGCTCAAGTGGGTATGTGTGTCGACCTCGACAATTTCAAAGGCTGTACAATTCATCCTGTACATATAAAAAATATTAGGGGGAAACACAGTTGTCCAAATCTTCCGTATGGCCAAGATCATTTGGTGCCTCCTTGAAGATTTTATGCATTGTAAATTACTTTTTTGCTACTATTGTTTCTTGAAATCAACTTTAATGACGTCTGAAACCACAAGGGCAGTGAAAAAATGTAAATGTAAGTATGACATTTAAAACGTACTGCCTAAATACATACATATTAGGTTAAATTAATTTCCTTATAATATATAAATTCAGTAACATCCAATTAAATGTTTCTCAGTGCATGAAATTGAGTTTTTTAAGGCATATTGAAAAAAAAATTAAGAGACTATTGTTCTGGCGGTGTTCATTTGCAACGTGTTTGTTAAATGTCTGCTTTTGGGTGTATTGTGGTCCATATAAAGTGCTATGGAAAGTGCTTGTGTAAAAAATAAATTATAATTTACAATATTTTTATTAAAATACACCGACCTTATTTTTATGCTAGGTTTTATTGAAATCGGTGAATGGAAAGTGGGTGAAACTCAAATAAACCGGATTCATCCCCTAATTTGCCACCCGTAGAGGTGAAATATTTTCATCAAATTTGAACAGGACTACTACTGGGGTACGCTGTTACCAACAAAAAAGAATCATTAAAATCTGTTCACAAATGTCGGAATAATCGCGTAACATTGCATACAAAAAAAAAGCACGACCGGGAGAAATATGTGTATGGCCTACACTTATTTCTCTCGTGAGTTTGGCTGTAATTTGTGGTTGTCTATGTGTGTGTCCATGGCACCCGCGATTCAGGGTTTCCCTAGTGTGGGGTTATAAGTGTGTAGAGTTATTATTATAATAGATAAATTTATATCAATAATATCACAAAAATTTCAATATGATCACTAATGGTGTTAGGTAGATATGGACTGTTGATCTCTACATTAATTTGATTAAAGATCTTTAAAAAAGGTAAATTTGCCATATTAACCATGCTTGCCAGGTAGGTTCACTGTCAACAGTGAGTCTGAGACTAAAATTTTTCACACGGGAATCTCCTGCATTTATCTTTGACAACCTTTTGGATCAATCTTAAATACTTTTGTAGAAATATAAATCACGAACTACTTTGGACATTGCTTTAGATAATCAACACCAAATGTTGATAATTTGTTCAGAGTTAATATAAAATTAGTATAACATCACTCAGTAATCAATTCAAAAATTATTAGCAGTTTTTGGTTTTGAACGTTATTCAAACTCAAACTCAAATAATTTTTATTTCTAATTATCTTTGTCGTTTGATTCGATGAAGCAAAACAAGTCGGGTTTTTGTAGTTTCTGTTTTCACGTATTTTACATTATTTATAATATTATTAGTTATTATATTGTTTACATATTTCTAATTTCCCTCATGTATTAAACTGTATTAAAAATGTTCTCCTCACCTATTTCCAATAATTTATACATATATATTTAATAATTTATACTTTTATTATTTATTTTCATCTCGTTTGTTGCACTCAATTTTTACGTTGATATAATAACTGTGCAGAACAGTCAAAATGTTTTAAAATCGGCTGTGACCTTGCGTCATGTTTGGCACTGTGTTAACCTTTTTGCAGTCACTGGTCGTGGCAATCGCGATGACATAAAAATATCACACCACGGATTTTTGTCATTCAAGTACCTTTGATTTAAAACCTCGTGCATGTCAAATTTTGAATATCAACCGGGATCTTAATATAGAAGCGCACATTGCATTTGTGAAGACAACAGTCAAGAATAGTGAGTTTATTTTTCCTCATATTAGTGTAACGTTTATCACTATTTTCTTATAAAAAATTTACTATTCCTCTCAACATAAATTCAATTTTCATAAGTGTATTGTGATGCTAGTGTAATAACGTTAATTTCTTTAAACTTCTTACCCAAGGGCTCTCTCTCATTCAATGCACAATAGAACGTGATGTCAATAAAAATAATACAACCAACACACATATAAAATTTATTATACATTATTAGATCTATTACAAAAACAGGTATCTATTATAAAAATTCATTTTAGTATTCGAGTGTACTAACCTTGAATATTATTTAATATTTCAAGATAATGTACTAGAATACTTAAATAATGAAAAATGGCACCGAAATCACGTGAAGGAAAGTTATCTGAAAATTACCCTTTTATTTTAGGACTATGATATTTCAAATAGACAATTTTATTGATTTAAACTTTTTATTTTTATTTATTTGAACTTCATTGCTCACAAAGTAGTTACAAATGGCGGACTTAATGCCATTAGGCATTCTCTACCAATCAACCGGAGACCTGAGTTCAGAATAAATAACAGGGGTGCATAATATGACTAATAAAAACAGACACGATCAAAATTTATATATATTTATGATACATTATTTACACACAATATAAAATATACATACGATATATATATATAACATATAATATATGATTATATCAATATATAAACATTATAAAACATTATCCATATTATGAAAATTTGTAAACGATAACTTACTTTAGACACTTGCAGACAATGCACATAATTCGCTCTCTTGGTGTAATAAAGCATAATTTGCACAAATTTCAACTTTTCAGGAAGTAGGTTTATACAAGTATATATAAGATCATTGTGTTTAAAGATTCTGCGATCGAAATTAATCGATAAATTTTAAACATTCTATGGTTTTTAATTAACACCTTTCTATATTTTATATTTTTTCTCATTGTCATTGTGACTGGATGATAAAAATGTAGTAGCAGTAAAGCTCCTTTTGAAAGAGTTCGTCCAGAGAATTACTGCCACCTTACCTATTTCTGCCGCCAAGAAGTAATGTCAGCATTACTGTGTTTGGGTTTCGAAGATTAAGAGTGCTGGTGAAATTAATAAATAAATGTAAATATTAGACAACATCACATACATTGTTCTGATCCCAAAGCACTAGGGAAACCCTGTGTCGCGGGTGCCATGGACACACACATACACAACCACAAATTACACCCAAACTCACGAGATAAATAAATGTAGGCCATACAAATATTTCTCCCGGCCCAGGAATCGAACCGTATGGTAACCGTTCGGTCACGGAGGCAGTTAAGTTTCTACACTGACCCGGCTTGACTGTGCAAGCCACTCGACCACGAAGGTCGTCGAAATTACAGGCACATGGGACTTGTCACCTTATATCTCAGGGTGACAGGCGCAATGGCAGCATCCCTCAGATTTTTGCGATTTAAAGCTCTGAGTGGCACTGCAACTGTTATGGACAAGCATGTAGCTGCCATCAGACGACTCTACTCTTTCGATAAAAGCATTTTTGGTGAATGATTACATTGGACTTTATTAACAAGGGTACGAATTAAATATCTAATAATTTAAGTTATTTAAATTCATACATGCATTTATTAGGTTACACGCATCACAAGGTTAGTTCAAAAACAATCATAAGTTATTACTTCCTTTACCTTTACACAATTAACTAATTGATACTATAAACGCCAATTAACCTGTTCGCGACAAGATCTAGATAACGTTGATGTGACGATAAAGGATAAACCACAAAGCATGCATAAATAATCAACAAATATACACCCAGTCACAATAGGCATTCTCAAGGAAAAATTAATTACCTATAGATATAACTAATCGAAGAAGATTAAATGTGAGGTAGTATTTGTTCGCAGTTCTATATGTATAATAATAGTAATGATTAGCCTATTTTAGGCTGGGAACAGGCATCCTCTCACAATGAGAGGACTTGTGCTCTAATCCTCACTAGGGCCTATTGCGGATTGGGAACTTCACATATCATTAATATGCCGCCGATATCAATAGAATATTTGTCCTGCAGAAATGTGCGATTAGGGTTATTTACAATCTGGGCCCCAGAGTATCTTTGAGAGATAAGTTTAAACTAAGGAAATTAACTTTCTTATACTAGC